AACTGCTCCCACCAAACCCCGAGCCTCCAGCTCGAAGTAATCAGCAGATGGGAAAGGCTGTCACACTTTGACACCCGTGAGGGCCTTCCTTTTGCTCCCGTCTTCATTAATTTCCATAGGAGATTGACTTTCCACAAGTGAGAATGGTAAGTGTCGATGAATTGTCAACCAACCCTACCTTCCCTCCACCACCCAACACAGGGCCCAGAAGGCTCTCCTTGCCAGTAGCACTGGAGATAATGTCACTCTCCACAGGAGGAGCTGGTACTTTAAACCTTTTCCCATCTGGTAAGCTGCTGTTTCATTTCATTTCTCTTTAGTTGCTGATGAGGCAGGATGTCTACTGTGTTTTTGATTAAGTGAGTGTGTGTGTGTGTGTTGTTAGTGTCCACTCATTTCAAAACTTTTTTTTTAATACAGAGTATTTATCTTTTTCTTTTTAAAGACAGTCAAACAAGGGGGGAGAAATGAACCAAGCCTTGTATGCACATATGAATAAAAAAAAAAAAAGACAGTCAAACCTTGGTTTCCACAGAGGACTGGTTCCAGGACCCCAGTGGAAACCAAAATTCTCAGATGCTCAGATGTAGTGTAGTATAACCTAAGCAAATTCTTCCCATATACCTTACATCATTTCTAGATGACTTCTAATAGAAGCCGGGCACCAGTGGCTCACGCCTGTAATCCTAGCTACTCAGGAGGCAGAGATCAGGAGGATCATGGTTTGAAGCCAGCCCAGGCAAATAGTTCTCAAGACACTATCTCAAAAAAACCCATCACAAAAAAGGGCTGGTGGAGTGGTTCAAAGCATAGGTCCTGAGTTCAAACCCCAATACCAAACACACACACACACAAAAACACTAATAGAATGTAAATACTATTGTATTATTTTCAGAACAACAAGAACAAAATGCACACTTTTGGTATATCTGTGGTTTCTTTTTTCCTGCATATTTTGATTTAAGGTCTGTTGAATCCACAGATGAGGATCCCACAGATAGAGAGGGCTGACTGGATTATGAACACTAGCTCTTAGTAATACAACTGTTGCAAATCTAGTCACCTCTGCATGCACATTTGCCTTGTCTCTTTAGACATGGGTTTCTGAAGTTTCAGTCTGCACACCATGTGAGGCTGTTAATTGATTCTGCAGATCAGAGTCTTTCTGTACTTACCGTGCTGTGCTGGCCCTGGCCAGTCCCAGCAGCTCTCTGAACGCTTTTCCACATGCTTTTTTCTGCTAGATGTTTTAACATCTTTAAATCTCCCAACAATTTCACTTATTTTAATGCCAGGAATGAGGCTGGACCCACTCTGAAATCTACCTCATGGACAGAGTTATCCCAATACTGTAAACAAACTAATTTCAGATAGTAATTTTGGGGCTGGTTGTTTAGTTTTTTTTCTTTTCCCTCCCTCTCTCCTTCCTTCTTTCTTCTCCTCTCTCTCTCCTTCTTCCTTTCTTTTTGAAATGCAGTCTCACTACCCTTCCCAGACTGATCTCAAACTTCTGGGCTCAAATAATCCTCCAGCCTCAGCCTCTGAAAGTAACTGGCACCACCGGCTCACACCACCACCCCAGACACTTTCTATTTTAAGTTACTGCTATTTTTTAGGAAGATGTTAATGGAATGCACAGAAAAAATAATATTTTCTACATAGCATGATATATTTAAGCTATTGTAACTCAACTGATTTAAATTAAATGGTAAGCTCAACACAGGGGCTCACACCTGTATTGTCACCTACTTGGGAGGCTGAGGCAAGGGGAGCACGTGAGCCCAGGAGTTTGAGACCAGCCTAGGCAACATGGTGAGATCAGGTCTTGGAAAAAAAAATTAGATTTCAAACTATGCTTCATTATAAACTTAAAAACTGTAACACAAACACAAAACAACCTACCTTGGATCCATGCAAATATTGGGGTTGTGCATTAGGTTGTTTATCTCTTTGAAATTCCTGAGAAAATGGTAATACTGTCCGAACAAACCTAAACAAAAAAGAATGTGGGAAAAAAAAAAGAAAGTCATATTTAATAGGGCTTCTTCAACTTCAGTGTTTTTCTTTTCAAATCCATCTGTTAAATCCTCCTCCCAGTTAACTGATGTAATCATCAAAATTCTAGTAAATCAAAAATCCCAGCATGAATTGGATATAACTACTGTGATATACAATAAATGTATCCAAAGTCCAGGAGTCAGAGTAAAAACACCTGGTTTCCTTCCACCTTCAAATTTAGGGAGTCTTGCCTACTGGCACTAGAACCATCTTAAGTCTGATAGAAGTCTTGCATAACTACTAACAAGCACGCATTTGGCTTTACTGTTCCCAGACACAGCCAAGATGGCAAGATAGCAGTCCACAACACGAGCAGTGACTTCCCTGTTACGGACTAAGAAGGGAAGAACATTCAAACTAAAATACTTATGAACAAACTCAGTCAAGAGAGTTTAATCTTGATAATGGATTGGGGCCAACCAGGGGCAAATGATTGGATTTTCAAGCAGAAACATCAAAATCAAGTTGCAAAGGCCTGCATTTACTCCCCAGAACTGAAGAACAGAACAAAAAAAAACAAACAAGCAAAGGAATGTCAAAGTTGGCAAACACTTTCAGATGGGACGGTTTCATTTAAACACAACTTTTGCAAAGAAGTGTAACAAAGACACATGAATTTGCTAAACTTTTAATTTTAAGAACTCAACAAACTCACATTGTACTTTACTTATTTATATTTTGGGCAGCACTGGGGTTTGAACTCAGGACCTCATGCTTGCTAGGTGGGCATTCTACCACTTGAGCCACTGTGCCAGCTCATAGTGAACTTCAGCAAATAAAAAAAAGTAACTTTCAAAATACTGTTGGCATTCAAACATGCTACTGGAAGGCCACATGCATTTACAAATAGGATGCAGAGGGCAGAAGAACAGTCACTGGGCCAGCTTCCCACCTGCTACAGCACTGCTGTCAGACTCTAGCAACCATGGACCTCAAATTCCCAAAAATAACACCCCAGAAGAACACTACACAGTTGCCTTGTTTGTGTGTGATTTTTCAAAAAGATCTTATATCACTGTGATGACACTTTAACATTCCTGATGTAGCACAATATTCAATGTTGTGTGTGTGTGTCTGTGTATGTCTATGTACCTTTATTTCTGTCTGCATGTGTGTGTCTTCATGTATGTGTCTCTAGGCAAATACGTGTGTGCCTGTGTATTAGTATACATGTATCTTTGTGTCTTTCTGCAAGTGTACATGTGCATTTATGGGGATGTGTGATCTGTGTGTGTACATGTATGGGGAAAGTATGTCTTCATGTATATGAACCTGAGGCCACACTTGTTCATGAAGCAGCACCAATGTCAGGGTGCTATTCAGAAGAGGAATCCCATCTCCACAGAGCCCAGTTCTTGATCACACTGTGGGGGTGGTTCCTTGACAGTCACACTTATAAAGCTGCCACACACACTGACCTCAATTTAACTCTGATGAAGACCAAGGTAGGAAAGGGCAGCAGACAGAAAATCATAGCCCAAATTGAGACACCAAAACGAGACATTATTTTTGTCACAAAAGTTTTATCCTATGTCTGCTTATGACATGATTTGCTTTCCCAAAGTAAGAATGTTTAAAATGCTGGTCTGATTTTGGAGACAGGCTTTAACAAATTGTTTTTGATACACTTGATAAAAAACTGTCAAAATAATGAAATTACTCCATGTTATTGTTAAAACTTTTAATTAAAATACATTTATATGATACATGTTACATGATAAATGTACTTATTCTACATTTTCAAATACTATACTTCTACAACTTTTTCTTGACTAATTAAATTTAGATATTGATTCCTAGGTAGAAGAATGTGATTATTCTCAGTTCCTCTAAACTCCTGGAATTTCTATTGACAAGAATGACTTCCTTATTCATATTGGGCCTTGTGGACCACATAACGGTTTATGACGAACAGGAAACTCAGGGTGGAGCTGGCTACTCCAGAGAGACCAACCATGTGACCTAGGTCCAGAGCGTTGAGCTGGGTGACATCAGTCAACTTCCTAGGAGGGGTAGCAGTGGAGATGGAGCTCAATCAGGTAGCCAATGATTGAGCCTCCCTGGTTGGCAGTAATCTTCCAGTATCGTCATACACACCTCAATGCCAGGAGGGTGGCACATCCCTGACACAAGGAAAGTTTGCTGATGGAACTCTAGCAGACTTTACCTCTGGTTCCTTCTCCTTTGTATCCTTTTGCTACACCTAACTACAATTATTGTAACTATGCGCTCAGCAAGAGATGTAAATCTTTCACCTGGAAGGTGAGTTCCCTGAACTTAGCTAGCTAGCTAAGGGTGGCTCAGAGAATCCAAATTAGTGGATGGCAGGGAAGTGAAGGCTGTGTCCTCAGACACTGGAGTTCAGCAAATTCACTGCAATCCCCTAATAGGAAAACTAAGGTTTAGCACCTACACCTGAGCTCCTACCCCACACATACTTCTCTACAAAATCAGGTCTAGATTTTCATCTTATTGTCCCCCTAGTAAGTGCTGGACCCAGAGGTGACCTCCTTTGTGCTTACACTTCTTGAGGTTTCATGGACCTCATGCATCTGCAGGTTTATAGCTTTTGCCAGATTTGGAAAAATGTCAGGCCATTAATTTTTAAATAATCTTTTCTCTTCAACCATAACCTCTTTACTAGCATTTCAACTGCAGCCTTGTTAGAGAGCACCTGATGTTGTCCTACACTTCTCTGAGGCTCTTCTTACTTTTGTCATTGTTTTCTTCACCCCAGGCTTCGGTTTCGATATATCCCATTATTAAATTCACTGAACTTCTAGAACATAAAATTTAGTATTCAGCCCAATGTTCACTCTGTACAGTTCAACAACTGAATTTTTCATTCCAGGTATTGTATTTTCAGCTTTAATTTATTTAATTATTTTATACAATACCCATTTATCTCTGCATTATGTTTGATTCTAAGTCCTTGGGCATATTTATAACTATTAACATTCTTGTCTGCTAATCCCATTAGTACTTGCTAGGCAGCACCCTTTTTTTTGCAGTACTGAGGCTTGAACTCAGAGCCTTCACCTTGAGCCATTCCACCAGTCCTATTTTTGTGAAGGGTTTTCAAGACAAAGCCTTCCAAACTATTTGCCCAGGCTGGCTTCAACAGCAATCCTCCTGAACTCTGCCTCCTGAGTAGCTAGGATTACAGGCATGAGTCACTGGCACCTGGCTAGGCAGCATTCTTGTTTGCCTACCAAGAAGAAGACCCTGAGTTCAAACCCCAGCACCGCCAATACATTACATACATACATAATATACACATACATGTATGGGAGTCCATGGTGGTTTCAGGAGCTGTTCCTCTGTGAAGGTCTCTCCCCTTCCATAATTTGCCCTGGAAATTTCAACTGCCTCTACTAAGCAACACTTCCAAACTGCATTGATTGTCACTTTCTGTACTTGGTGCAGAAAAGTGCTTCCTGGCAGAAAGCCACGGTGATCATGGCCGATCTTATGTTTCCGTTACTTAGAGAAAATATCTGAGAACAAATGATTCATACATTTTGGCCAGTTTTTTTTTTTTTTTTTTGTGGTACTGGGGTTTGGACTGAGGGCTTTGTGTTTGGGATGCTGGGGCTCTACCACTTGAGCCATACATCCAGCCATGACAATTTTTTTCTTTTTTAAACTTAAATGTCAAAGAGTAAGTCCAGACCCTTTTACTTCATCATCCAAAATAACTTTTTCGGGGGAGGGGTACAGGGCCTTAAACTTGTTTAGCAGGTGTTCTACCACTTGAGCCATGCCTCCACCCCTTTTGGCTCTGGCTATTTAGAAGAGAGGGTCTCACTTTTCACCCAGGCTGGCCTGGACCACGATCCTCCTATTTTAGGCTTCCAACTGTAGCTGGGATGACAGGTACACACAATACCATGCATAGCCACTGGCTGAGATGGGGGTCTCACAAACTTTTTGCTGGCCACAATCTCAACCTCTGAAGTAGCTAAGATAACAGGCATGAGCCACTGGCACGTGGCTCCACGATAACTTTTGAGCACAAAATTTACTATACATTCTCAGTCTAAAGACAAAAATATTGAAAACAAGGCTGGGGGTGTGGCTCAAATGGTAGAACACCTGCCTAGCAAGTGTGAGGCTGAGTTCAAACCCCAATAGGCCAAAAAAAAAACAAACAAAAAAACCCAAACCAACCAACCAAACAAAAACAAATATAAAACTCTTACTGGTAGATTTATATTTCATAACAGTAAGGACAGACAATTCTGGAATTACCCTGCCTTGTAGAACTGGATGAGTAAATATAAATGAAGCAAGAATTCTCAGTATTTAAGGAAGGTGGAAAGATGAAAAGAATTAAAAATAGAATGAACATTGAGTCTTTGAACTGAAATTGGAGATAACAGAATAAACTCATGGTCTTAATATATAGCTACATAGAAATAAGTGTGTAAATACACACACACACACACACACACACACACACACACACACACAATGGGATGAATTGTGTTCTCCCAAAAGATATGTGAAGTCCTTACCCCTAGTACTTCAGAATGTGGAAATAGGGTCATTACAGAAGTAATTAGTTAAGATAAGGTCAGGCGCTTGAGGTTTAGCTCAGTCGGAAAGCACTTGCCTGGCAAGCACAAGGCCCTGGGTTTGATCCCCAGCAATCAGTCAATGCAATGATGAGAACATACCAATATGACTGTTGTCCTTATAAGAATAATATAAGAGACATGGAGACAGAGACATGCAAGAAGACCATCATGTGATGTCAGAGACAGAGATTATAATGATGCAGCTGTAAGCCAAGAATGCCAGGATGACAGCCATCACCAGAGGCTAGAAAAGGGTAAGTAAGGACTCCACCCAACTAGTAACTATAGAGTAAATGAAGGAGTTAGAAACTTATGACTGTTCAACCACCATAGTGACAACTGGTTCAGGTAAGAAATAACTACACACTAAAATTGGTGTGTCAAATTTCAACAAGACAGTGTATCTACAGTTACAGATGATCTCTCTACAAATTACTTACTAATTTCAAACAGAAAAGTGTTAACTTGACAGTCATGAAACCTAGCAGTCACTACCTTAAATAGGGACAAAAATTGTCTTGACTAGTGAAGGGACTGGACATATCACCCTGAGGTGACACCTTCCTGTTGGTGGGCTTCTGGCCAAGGAGGCCTCACTAGTCACAAGGAAATTCCATTCTGCTGGCTAATTTCCAGGGCTGTAGCTTTGTCACACATTTATCAGTTGTACTGGTTAAATTTCAGTCACAGACCAATCTAAGCCACCTCCCAGAGCCACAAGGCATAACCATTAATTGGAAGTCACTGGACAAGCCAAGCAATAAGGAAAAGTTCTGACTTTCCTCAACCAGCTCTCAGAAAATCCTCAGGCATAGAATCAAAATTCCAGGGAACATGTTTTTGTGTCTTCTCAAGTTTAATACACAAGTTGGATATATAAATTTCTGTCTTAAAATGCCTTTTCCAGATAATGAAACCTTACTGAACCCACTAGAGGACACATGAAAGATACAGGCCAGTACCAATACTGATGGAGGCACAGATTGCCCAAGTAAACCTATTCTGGTAGCAGGAGTTCTTCTGTGACAGATCAGGGTTTCCATGGAATAATGCTTCAGGTGTTCTCAAGCCCTAGGAAACTCAGATCACTTTGCATCCTGGTCCCCTGCCTAAATCTGAGTCTCATAAAGAACAGGTACACACACGAATCTGGACTCTGGATAAGATCAAATCTGCCTGCTTGTGGAGAGTACCCTATGTGTCTAGGGAACCCCTGCTGCTCACAGAGGGCAGTACAGCCACTCAGGCTGGAGGCCTGAGCACATAGGGCCTCGGGCGGTATGTTGTGTTGATATGCAAACAGGAACATCCATAACACCTGATGGATTGTAGGGGAAACAAGAAATTCCAGATGAAAGCACCCAGCCAACCTTTCCTGCTGCTGTGGTTTGTACTAGGTTTCTGGTGTGCAGATTCAGGATGGAATGCTGAGGTGTACCCTATGCCTCCTGTTAGAGATGAGAAAACACAGGGCCCAAGGAATCTGCATGCTGAGCACAAGGCAGCAGGAAGGGCAGCTTATCCATGGTGGCAGGGCAGTGCCCTCTACCACCCTTGCCTCATTGTGCCTGATCAGGGCTCTCAACCTGGAGAGATACTGGCACTGTCTGGAGACAGTTCTGGTTGTAACAACTTGGTTAAGGGGAGATGCCTCTGACAGATGGTGGTGGAGTCCAGGGATGCTGCTTAACATCTACGAGGAATGGGACCCCCAGCACACACACACATGCACACTAAAAAATGATACAGAATGTTGGCAGTGTTTTGGCTGGGAATGAAGGGAGGGGAGGCGGCAAGAGCCACTTAGAGGCATCTTGCACCTGAGTCCATAATATGTAGTTCTGTCTCTAGACAGGTCCAGGGTCACACATTCACAGACCATAGGCCTACACCTGCCCTAATAGAATAGGAGAAAAGAAACCCCATAAACTTCCTTTGCTGGTTATGACACATTGAACTATGTGTTTCCACCCTAGAGATCCAGGAGGATCCTAAATGCCCCGATTAAAATTGAACACAGCTTTAATGTACCAGCCACCTGCATCAGGCCAGCTAGACAAGCCTCACTCCTGCGTGGTGCTGGGCAGATGGACTCAGCTGGAGCACTGGGTCAGAAAAGCAGCAAGCTTCACAGCATTGGGATGCAGGTGTTTTCTCTCAAGCTTGCTTTCACAAACAAAAAAAATGTGTGTGTCTGACGCCTCAGACATAAGGTATCATCCCTTCTGAAAAACATGCATGAGTTAAAATAAGAAACAGTATGAAGCAATGACACAGCATTATGGGGTAGACTATGACTATTCTGCTACATAACACATGACAGTTTTGTCCAAAGCCTCCAGCTCTGTACTGAACAAGGGGAACACTTTCAGAGGAAGCCACTGACTGCTAACACAAGCTCTCGGGCACTGGAAGAGGATCCAGAATGCAGGCAGGATTTGCCTCCCCAGGAAATGGCCCTCAGTTATGCTTTGAGTGAGTATAGACTCTGGATGATACACAGGCATGGCTCAAAGAAGTGTACAGCTTGCAGAAAGGTTCTTCTATATTTGAGAGGATATACAAATTCTATATTTGAGAGGAACTACAGGACAAAATATCCTCAAAGAGTAGGACAAGTTTTATTTAAGAGTTAGGGTCAGTGTTAATAGAAGCATCAAGTTGATGCTGTTCAATGGTGCAAGCTCCTCTCCTGCAGGTTCCTCTCCTCTCTTGTGGGAGCCACACAGAATAACCAAAGCAAGGAGGACCCACCAAACATCAGTCACGATTCAGATGGATTTTCAGAAAGTAGCACAAGCACAGATGTATCGCCATGGGAAGACTCTTGTGTGACTTGTGAAGTGGATATGTATATATAGCAGCATGCCTAGTACCCTTATTTATAAAGAATGTGTACCTAAAAGCATCCCTAATAACCTCATTTTTACAAAACACAAAATATATACATATATTTAACTATACAGTCATTCTCAGTAATCTTGTGGGGAGGGGGGAGGAGGTTGGTTCTAGGACTCCCAGTAGATACCAAAATCCAAGCTCAAGTTCCTTCTATAAAATGAAATTTTTTTTACAAGGAACCTACATACATTCTCCCATATACTTTAGATCATCTCTTGATACCTTTTACTACCTAATACAATAATGACAAGAAAAAATATGTGTGTATTTTTAGTACAAATGTATTTTTGTTTTTTCATCCACGATTGTTTGAATCCATGGATTTGGAGGGTTGTTAATTATATGGCAAGAACTCTAGAAAAAGAAAAAAAATTTTTACAAGGAAAATGTATGGGGATGTAATTAATTTTTCCCCTCAACTACATATATATGACTTCTAGATTTTCTACAATTATGATGCATTATTTGTGAAATAGAAATACTTTTTTTCAACTAGTTCAGACTGTATCAACAACTTAAAAAAATGTTTCAAGAAAACAAGCACCTTAAAGTAAGTTAGTAGGGATGAACAGTCTTAAGAGCTATTTTCCATGGATCACACACAGCCAGGCCCCACGGCCTCCTGAGCTGAGGAAGCTCACCTGGGTTACTCTACCTGAAGCTCTTCAGGCTACTTCCATGTCCCCACCTGCCTCTGCCAATGTGGGCACCAGCCACTGGGACTGTCAGAATAGCTACTTGGCCAGTGGCACAGACAACACCTCCACACACCCAGGGCCTGACCTGAGCAGACAACAGTAACAGCAGGCATGATCAGCCTGTAGGATGGCTCCCTTTCTCCCCTAGCCACTGGAGCTCAGCACCCCACCTTATCTCTAGGCTTAAAAGTCAGTAACAGTTCAGCTAGACACAGGTGAGATATTAAGATCCAAGTAGCAAAGCAAAAGCACTGATCATTACTTTTGTCTTTTTTTTTGGTGGTACAAGGGTTTGAACTCAGGGCCTCATACTTGCCAGGCAGGGACTCTTACCTCTTGAGCCACTCTGTCAGCCCCAAAGCATTAATTTTTAAAGGTGCTTATAACACATGTTTTCACATACATGAGACACACATGCACTCTTCTATCTTTCAGTGTTAATCAGCAAGGAGGCACAATTTGTTTGGTGACCTCATCTCCTCCTGGACTATTGGTGTCCATGGGAAAGCATGGCATGCAACAATGTACACATGGGCTGACAAAGTGCAATGCACACAGAGATCCAATCTCAGTCAGAAAGGCCACTCAGTGCATGGTGAACAGAGGCCAAGGCAGGGTTGATGATATGATTAGGATGATTAGGTATGAAGATACTAATGCTATCAACCACTCCACCCACTAACCTGGCTATTTCATGTTGTCTGACACAAGAGTAGGTTGTGTGGTAGTTTGGTGGGAGGGTGGCTAACAGACATATCTTCTCACATTCCTCAATATTTCAGATGAAAACATGAGAAGTAGAGTCATCCACCACATACTAACATCAGGGAGGATTAAAATATGTAGATGAAGCCCTGCCAACTATTTCCAATGTGCACCATGGGACCTTATCTGCAGTCATAAACAGACACCAAAGACAGAACCACAGCTCCCCTGCCCTGGCCCTCACCCTCAATCTCCAAGTGCAAAGCTATGGCCATCTGCCTAAGGGTTGGTCCAGAGCTTTACTTGCAAATGGAAGTGACAGGGAAGGCCTCATGTCCTGGACATGAGAAATAATGGTGAAGAGAAAGGAGGAAAAACAGTGGAGGGGGAAGCCTGTGTGGAAGTGGTCCCAGGAGATCATCCTTTGCAGATGCCTTGGGGCGTACTCACCGGTTGGTGGAGCCATTGTAGCAGTAGTTGGGCAGGAAGTCATAGTTCAGTTCCCAGAAGACGTGGAGGGTGATTCTCCCATAGGGGGCAGACACATTGTGGTTGGCTTCCCGGAACATGGCATCAAAGCTGTCCAGTGTCAGGAACCTACACAGCAGCTTGTGGGTCATGCGATTGATTTCCAAGAGGCCATCCAGCTCCTATGGAGTCACAGAGATGGGTGTGAGATGAGAACTGGGCCACACAGGAAGGGGCCATCAATGATGCAGTCTGCAACTCCCACCCAGGCCATGTGGTCCCTGGGGGTTCAGCACACGGAGGGGATAGGGATAGTGAGAGGCTGCACTGAGGTGGCCACCAGTGGGTAGGATTTGATAGGCAATGGAAACTTGATTCTCATTTCACCCTTGAAGCTCCCAGGCTTTCTGCAGTCAAACTCATTAGATTATTGTTCTTTCTCTACTGTGATCACATCCACACCACCCACTGCTGCCCTCCAGCAATCCCACAGGCGGAGTCCCCCTGGATGTGTCACCTCCTCCGAAGGAATACTATTTTGCAAAGTATCATGTAAGCCATGAATTCCATCCCTGTCCCTGCAACACAATCAAGCTCGCTGCTGCACTTTCTCAGGTATCTGGACTGAGTCAACTTTCATTAATGTGCCTGGAGTTATTCAAAACCATGGGCTCCGTGGTGGAGCGCTTGCATAACAGGCACGAGGCCCTAGGTCCTACCTCCAGCATTAGGCTGGGGGCTGGGGCGGGTGGAGAAGCACAGGCTAGGCAACAGAGTTGGCAAGTATGCCATAAATAGCCTTGAAACTCTCACATTTACAGTAGTTTCCCTTTATACACGGTTTAACGTTCCAATTTCAGTAATTTAGTCAGTGACAGTCCAAAAATATTAAACAGAAAATTCTAGAAATAAAAAACTCGTATATTTTGTTGTTGTTGTGGTGCTGTGGGGTTTGACCTCAGGGCTCTGCACTTGCTAGGCAAGTGCCCTACTCCTTTATCAAACATCCTCAGCCCTTTTTGCTTTAGTTAGTTTTGGAATAGGATCTCACATTTTTGTCTAGCCCAGCTAGACATAATTATACCTTCATGTAGCTGAGGTGACAGGCGCACAGCACCGGGCTCAACTTATTGGTAGAGATGGGATCTAGCCTTGAACTGCAATTCTCCTAATCTCCACCTACTGAAAAGGTGGGGTTATAGGTAAGCCACTGCACCTGGCTAACAATTCATAAATTTTAAATAACTTTTATCACATTATATCCTTATAATTGTTCTGCTTTATTATTAGCTGTTACTACAAATCTTTTACTTTATCTAGCTTCTAAATTAAACTACCATAGGTAAATAAAATATATTATTAAAAATAATTTCACCTATTTCTTTTTCCTTTTGGGTTGTGACTATAAGTAAACTTAAAATTACGTATGTGGCTTGTATTATATTTCAGTTCTACACTGATCGTCTGGGTCAAAGCCTTTCACAATAATTTTAATCAAAATCATATTTGCTCAGAGACAATTAAAATGCATGGCCCTGCTTCAAATTACACTTGTAAAGACAGACAGTCAAAGTCCCCAAAACCCATGCCCTGGAGGTGTGGCTCAGGAGGTAGCTTGCCTAGCTAATGTGCAGCCCTGAGTTCAACCCGTGCAGAGGACAGGTTGCGAGGGAAGCACCACTCACCCTACACAGGGATGCTTAACTCTCTAGTTATGAATAATCTTCCTTCATTTCTTGGATGTTCATTACCATCGCTTAGCTTAATTCTTAGGTGACTGATTTGGCTGGGTACAAAATCCCTGATTCACACTTCTTTTCCTTAGCTGCTGGCAAAGGTCTGAGGACAACAGGATTTTCTTTCTCTGACTTCTCTGCTCAGACAGGAGTTTTTTTGTTTTTTGTTTTTTCTCCTTAAAGTCTTCTTGCAATATTTCTTAGCTTTAGCCACTTTGTGTTAGCCTTCCCAAGTAGATGGTATATGTTTTTGATATGCCATATGGTATATGTTTTAGACACTTCCTGACTTATGATGGTTTACATCCTGATAAAGCCACTGTAAGTTGAAGATACTGTTGAGTAGAAAATATATTTAATGTACCTAACCTATTGAACATCACAACTTAGCCCAGCTTACATTAAACATGGTCAGAGAACTCCTATTAGCCTAAAGTTGGGCAAAATCATTTGACACAAAACTATTTTTATAACAAACTGCTGAATATTTCATGTAATTTAGTAAACACTGTATTGAAATGTGAAAGAGATTAGTTGCATGGGTATATTTTCCCATGACTGGAAAGTCAAAAACTCTTCAATCAAATCATTATAACTCAAGTACCATCTGTACTTTCAAGAAGTCTTCTTTTAGAACAAAATGTTATCAAAATGTTATCATTCGCTGGTAAATGGATGGAATTGGAGAACATCATTCTGAGTGAGGTTAGCCTGGCCCAAAAGACCAAACATCGTATGTTCTC